CCAGGGGAGTGAGGGTAGTCCAACACTGATGCAAGAGCGCTCTCAGATTGGCCCAGTGCACACAGTAAATATAGCACGGCTTAATTTTTTATCATTATTGTTGAGACATTTATTAATTTTTGTGTGTAAACTAATGGACTTTGTCACCACCACTAGCTGATTTGTATCCCTTCTCAAGGCTTTGCCTCTACCGCCCCCCCACGCACCGCGCGATGAGGCGTCACGTCTCGCCCCGCTCAACCTGCAGAGAGGATGTTGCGTTCACTGGATCTGCGCTTTTTAATGAGCTGCACTCCTTATGATATTAATAGCCTGATCGAAAAGAGTTTGCGGCTCGTCTGCATTTGAGTTTGTATTCTGGTCGCTAGCTTCAGCCCGAGTAATTCCCTGGTGTTGACCCCAGGTTAACTGGAAAGAAAAAAATATGGGCTTTTGTATGTAAATTTCTGTTAAGATATCTTTAAGGATATTTACCTAAATTATTCTCATATGAAAGACAGACTACTTACCGGGAAGAAATGTAGACACGTCATACAGCTAGTTCCTTACGGAACCCTACCAACTAGGTGTACGAACGAACTGTGCCAGTTGCGGAGGTAAAGAACCTGATTAATAGGCTGTAGGTTAAAGGGAATGTTTAAAAATATGGAAGGGTCAGTTTTGGGGGGTTGCTAATAGCCAGGCCGCTGGGCACGCTGAGGTGATTTAGAGGTCGGTGTCCTGTCGCTCACGTGCGAGCGTCTCTAGTTGCGGTCTGCACCGACCTGTGCTGGTATGACNAGGTCGGTGTCCTGTCGCTCACGTGCGAGCGTCTCTAGTTGCGGTCTGCACCGACCTGTGCTGGTATGACGGCCTTTCGCCGTTTAGTTATGCTTCTGTTAAAATATGTTTAAATCGAATATCCAATCGTGATGCACGTTTTTACACTGAAGAATATAACGCAACTGAGGCATTCTAGGACCCACGCACTACATGGTGGGTGGAACGAAAGTTCTCAACCTTGTTCGAGGGTCGTTGCGAGGTGCAAAAGAGTCAAAATGATTACGCTAAGAACTTCGAAGAAGTGCGTGGCCTCCTCGCTTCTCCACAGGCGGCCTGAACCCGGCGGCCCGACAGCTTGGGGCTGGGGGGAGGCGAGGGCCCAACATACTCGCACAGCGCCTCGGCGCAACTAGCGCTGAAGGGGTATTGTAACGTTGCTTCGTCTGTGCATTCCTACTTGCGTGCATGCTGGCTACTGAGAGCCGAGTAAGCGCTCAACATTCGCCTACGATGTTAACATATGCAGCAATATGGCTTGGTTGTGGGTGTATGCGGAGTTGCGGTGCAGCACAAGTTGCAGCAGGGTGCGTAGAAACTTGTGCCAGGCCAGCTCCATTCCCCCTGACACAACACCGTTGGACCGCCGGCTCCAGGCCTTCTGGTAGCGGGAGTAGAAGCCAGTTGCCTGTTGGTAGTTCTTACCTCAAGTATATCAACTCTTTCGCAGCTCACATATGTCCTCGGATGGGATGGAGGACTTTGCATGCAGGCGGTGCTTCTGATACGAAAGGCCTCAGTCTGAGCTGTAGCGCAAGTCTATCCTCCGTAGCTGCATTCATAACAGTTTAGGCAATTGTTGAGCACCTACTTGGTCTTCCACGGTCGGCCTGCATAGAAGGAACGATGCACGTACCTTACATAGAGACTGCTATAGTTGGGGGTATCAGAGAGGAAACATTGCACCGTCGCCACCTGCGTCCATTTCATCAAAGGTGAAGCGTTAAGGAAATTTCAGCTTCACAAGTTGCAGCAGGTGCAATGGACTGAGCGAAAGGAGAAACTATTGAGCGTAAAATCTCAAGTTAAGCTCGAAATGTGCCACGTTCCAGGAAATCATGACAGCATGCAGCTCTCAGAGGTTCCAACTACATTCGGATGCCAAGGACTCGTTACAACTCAAGTGACCCACCATATCTTGCCTGTGCATCGGTAGATATACAAGTACCAACACCAACCATGCCGTGCTACAGGGGATGCAAGCTATATTTTTGGGAAACGTATTAAGTAATCTCTTTCACAGCTCGTTCCCGCCGTATAAGGGGCTACCCTCGGCCTTATTCAACAACTGTCACGAGCTGCAACGATGCCAAGGACTTAACGTAAGGGTTTCCCAAGTGCAATTGACCTCTTCCCCGTGTCTTCAGGCGTCCCGGCTGCAACAGCACATGGCCTGGCGTTGCGGAGCAGCAGCTGGCCTGACTCGAGCTGCAGTCCACTTGGCTGCAACTCCTGGTGCGAGCCTTTCCAGCCTTGTTCAAGAGCAGAAGCGAGCAGCAATGAAGGCAAAGACTTGAGGTAAGCCTTCCCCCAAAGAAGCTGGCCTCCCTTCCCTGTCTTCAGGCATCGTGGGCGTTCCGATGAGGGCCTGGGTTTGCGGGGGAGGAGGCAGCCTATGTGGAGTTGCAGTGCACCTCACCGCCGCTGGCGATGTAAGCCAGCCTCACGTGTGAGCAGAGGAAAGCTTCAACGAAGCCTCCATTTCTGCGTGCTTTACCTCTGTATACGCTTACATAGCGTTTTAATTTGCTTGCAGGCAACCTACCAAGACCAACCGAATGTTCCTGTGCGAACTGCAGGCAAACCACGTTACGAGCCTCGCCATGTAGGCAGATCGAAGCTCCCTCCTTAACTACATAGTTTATCTCTGTAGACACTTGTTGATAATTTTTATTTTTTTGCATGCAGCATATCAAGGCCAAGTGAAGGTCCACGTGCTAACTCAAAGCAAAGCACGCTGCAACCGGCGATTCCCATACAGTGCTGTGCAAACGGGCACAGGTTTCCATTAGAAAGCTGTTCGCAAGGGCTACTGGTGATTTTAAGTGCTTGTTTAACGTAAACTACCCAGAGGGACCGGCCCTTAGTCTATCAAAGCAAACAAATACAACATGGGAATGTCGACTTGCATTTCACGGCAGATGCGAGTACATCCTAGCAGCGCCTCACCCGCCCGACGTAAAGCTGGACTCCAATGTAATCAACAAGTCCATCTTTACGTCGTAAAGCTAAGCTGAAGTATTAATTAATAATACTTTTTCTGANATGTAATCAACAAGTCCATCTTTACGTCGTAAAGCTAAGCTGAAGTATTAATTAATAATACTTTTTCTGAGAACAAAGCGGGAAATGGACAGGAATGTGCGCCTTCTTCCGCTCGCCGATCACGGGAGGGACCGTCTTGTTGGATCCTCCCGGCTGCTGCTTCTCCCGCCGCGCCAATGCTGGGGCCTGCCTGTGCGTGGATCCTGCAGCTGTCGTTCATCGTCGTCGGTTACTATTATTTTTTTTATCTGTCTCGGATAAGAGGTCAAAGAATTAGCGGTACCATTTAATGCCGAGGCATCTGCTGAGCGGATCCCCTGCCTGCCCCCACATTCGCTCCTGAGTCCTGAAGGGGTTTCAGCACCAAAGTCCAGGTGACGGCCGAAGCGAAAAGGTTCGTTCCATCGCAAACTGAGCGCTCGCGGACCAGCTTTGTGCCAAGCCGTTGCTGAACACAACAGGTTGGCTTTCAGGAGTTTTGCATCGGAGCGAGCAGAACACGGCAGAACCGCACGCAGCATGAGTCGGTTGGGTGGGTGCAATTTTCATTCTGTTTCTTATTTTTAACGAGGAACTTTATAATAGGCGTTTAAAATTTTTTTCTACTTGCTAGGTCGCCTGGCTTTTATCAGCGCAATGCGGTGCCCAATTCGGCGTTGCGCTGTCGCCGCAGCTGCGGTCGCGGCTGTTGTATTGCCTCTGGCGTCGGTTCCTGCTTTCGCTGTTTCTGCCGGCATGGAGTCCCCTCATGCACGCGGCTCGGTTCATTCTCTCTACGAAGAGCAGCAGCTGCAGCAGCTACCTCTGGTTTCCCCGTCTGCAGAGGCAACATTGGCGGCAGCTCCCCCTTCGTTGCCGTGGTCTCCAAGGCGTCGGGGGGCTCAAACGGCTCTCATTTCTGTCATGACAAGCATGGCATTGCTTATTTCAGTGTCGGCTATCCTATTTTTAACCTTTAGCTGCGCCCGAGCCCTGCAGAGCTCGCCCCGCTTCCCTTCGTCCTGGGGGCCCGTTGAGCGTTTCCTCGCCGCTGGGGATTCTCCATGTGAGCCAACGGGANCTTCCCTTCGTCCTGGGGGCCCGTTGAGCGTTTCCTCGCCGCTGGGGATTCTCCATGTGAGCCAACGGGAAGTGCAGGGTCCCCTGGGTCCTCTGGTGAGGACGGTCATGGGAATATGCCAGGAGCAGCAACGGCCGCCTCGACAGGCGCCGGCGCTGCCGGAACAGCAGCAGCGACTCGGCGTACCTCTCCAGTGGAAAGGCAGCTGAAAATCTTGAACCTTACATTAGAGGAGAAGGTGGGGCTGTACGGAGAGGAGTTAAAGCTTATTGAAGACGCTAACGAGCGTCTGGGGAAGTGCATGAAGGACATCGAAGAACACAAACAGTCCCAGGAAGAGAAGCGCCGTGGGGTGAAAGAGGCAGAATTCGCATTGAAAAATATACGGGAGGCGATGCAACGTGTCACCTTGGATGAAGGCCCCTTAAATAATGCACAGACTAGACTACAACATTGGCAAAGGGAGTTTGTACAAGTGTCTCAGAGGGTCTCGCGTCTCGAGGGCGATCTGGGATTCATGGCGTGGGATCCAGCACAAGACACAGCAGCGCTTATTTTGTATGCAGACACCTTCCGGAGGCGCTA